GCCACTGCCGTCGGCATCCTCTGTTTTCGCCTGGATGCTGAACGTCCGACCAATGCAGCCTCCTCTGCTGATGCTGCTGCTGCCGCCGCCAACATCTCCAACCTGTCACAAACCAATCAACACTAATCCGTCACACATACACGGTAACATAAACGCACCAACTCTATGAACGGACTCGACAATTGTTCTCATGCAAACGTGTGACCACTCACCGTTGACCTGCTGGCGTCATGGTAGCCACCGAACCAAACTCCTCCTCATCATCATCCTCCTCTACATCCTCTTCCTCATCCTCCTCCTCATCGTCCGCGAGTTCATCTTCCAGATCATCGTACTCGCGAAACTCCTTACCACCACGCACAGAACTACGAGGTCGTTTGGCCACACGATTCCGAGGCTGCACGCCACCATCACCATCCCCACTACCACCACCAGCAACAATACCAGTGCCTGCAGTATCGTAGGCGCGTTTTGTGCTTGATTTAGAATTTGCAGCAACAGTAGTAGAAGCTGCAGGAGCCTTTATGCCCGTAGACAAGGTATGTGGTGTAGCAGGGGTCGTTGAGGCAACGGTAGCCACAGAGGCGGGATTTGGAGTCAGCATCGAACCTGCCACACCAGGAGTCGCCACCACCATGTCCGCATCGTCATCATCACTGTCTTCCTCGCCATCGCCACCACCAGGAGTAGCTGTTGTTGCAGCTCCACCACCACCACCACTACTGCCACCGCCCCCTCCTACACCACTACTGCCACCGCCTCCTCCTACACCACTACTGCCACTGCCACCACCACCACCACCTGCTGTTTGTATTGCACTGCTCGGTGTGCGACTAAACACTGAGTGAGGAGTGGCTACACTCATGGGCGCTCGCAACGACGGCGTATCCACCGAGTACGGCTCTACCACCTCCACATCCTCGTCGTCATCATCAAAGTCGCTGTCGTCCACACCATCCACTTGTGTCTAAAAATATCAATCAGCGCCCAATTAACTTACAGTCGCTTCTGCACACGACCCAAAAGCCCGACCAGTAACAACTAAATCGTTGTGCAAGAGAGAACCAGAGACAGAAGACATACCCTATTGAAGGACTGCTGTTGAGCTTGCTGTGGTGGTGCTGCTGCTGCCGCTGCTGTCGCGAGGATAGTAGTTGCAGTGGTGGTGCCAGCAGCGTCTTGCAATTGCTGCGTTGTTGTAGGTGCCGAGCCCAGTGGCTGTCGGAACTGCACAGGCACCATGAAGGTCTGCTGACCCACCTGCAGAATCTGCACATTCTGACCTGCCAGTGAAGACCAACAACTACTTTTACCAGCACATTCACAAACAATCTTCCTCAACGTCTCCACCTCAATCCAATGCTCCGACACACACACATTATTGCCCCTCTCAGTCATCTCAACTCGAAATACGCCCATCTTATTCACAAACATGAGGAAAAAGAAAAACAAAACATTAACATCCACCCTCCAAAATAGGCCCACAACACAACCGCCACATGGCTCATCGTTAACTCCTCCTCCTCCTCCCCACTTATCACTTTAGCTCACATCAGTGTAACTCAAAAGGACAACACAATTGGGTGGCACTTCAAACTAAATACACCTATTTAACTCTCGCTCCTACTGCATCCCATCAATCGCCTTCACCCATTCACTCATGTCTCAAATCGTATCACCTGCCTCAGTTAGCAGGTTAGCAACAAGCGACACAACCGATTCGCCATGTTTAACCACCTACCACCAACATCGCCATAGGACAAGCTTGATGTCGCGGGCAACGTACACAACGCAAAAGACTGGGCACTATAGCACTTTGCCTCTGTTAAAACCAAGCGCGAAGCTCCACATCGCTAGCCACAGCAAGAAAAATAAATCCCACTCTCTCTGCCCTACCACCTCGGTACCGTCAAACATCACCACTCATCGAACCACCCAGCTGAAACTACCCTCCATCGCCTCGTTGACACGACTCCACTGTGGTTTCCACCGCGTTCGCAAGTTCACACATATGCTACGCCTATTGCATTCACAGGACTGCACAACAAGCAGAAGTCACTCACCCACCTCCTACAGCAGTCCACCACATTGACTGGCGAACACCACGTTTCTTCGATCCAGAAATAGGCTACTCAACATATGTGTCAGCTTCCAACACTAAAGACAGCAATTCTTTCAGATACAAATATCACCTAGACGGCTGTGTGAGCAACACCTCATCGGCAACACGAACAACAACATCGTAGCTAGTCAGAAGTGTAAAAAGGAGGCCAGGGAAGATAAGTGGTGGATGAGGACGGAGAGCCATCTACTCACCGGGAATGGCTGGAACTCCATTGACACTGGCCATTGCCGGTTGTCCGATGATGGTGGCAGTGGTGGCTGTACCAGGCTGACCAGGTCCAGAGGCCTGCAGGGGTGCGCGGATAGCGATGCCAGCGAGCGGATTGGCAAGGCGTGGCTGCACTCCTGCCGCCTGTGGATTCAGCGCCGCCGCGAGAACGATCGGTGGTCTACTCGTCGTGGTGCCAGGCGCCTGCACGGACGCACCGACGGCGGAACGCAACACCAAACCCGTTGCCGGTGTCGCCGCTGACATTGTTAGGGGCGCATTTGGTCGCGCAATCGGCGCGAGCGTACGTATCCCACCGCCACCACCACTGCCCCCACCCACCCCCGTCAACGAGTTCGGCTGGATGGGCAGCCTCGAAATGGGAATTGGCATTCCCTGCTGACCCACACACGTCTGCTGCAAGTAACACCAAGCACATGCATTACACAAACCAGCCGATTGCTTCGTATGCAAGACACTCAGTAAGCACGCAAACACGCGCACAAAAGAGGAACCAAACAGACGACAAGACAAAACACAAGCTACCCCTCCATATAGATGACATTCAAACTCACTTGAAACTGTGTAGCTTGCAGGCGCTGCGCATAATGGACTGCCGGTTGAGCGACGGGCTCTGGATCAGCCACGTGAGTTTCAGCCAGCTTGGAGGACCACAGCTGAGGGTGGAAATGAAGAATGCACTAAGGGAAGGAATAAGGATTACCTTACGCAGCTGTTCCAACAGATCCAAATCGAGACCCTCCTGTGTGAAGGTCTCCTTCATGCCTTCAATTACATCGTTGATGACGCCGTTATAAAAAGCCGCCTAGAA